TAGATCGATCTAAAAAATCACGTGAAGTTTCTGTTTGTTCCAGTTTCGGGTCAATACTCTCTTCTTCAACTAACTCATGGTCTGTAGTACGCTTCGAATATCCTTTAAATTAAAAAAAAAAATTAAAAAATTAATTGCACTGAAATTGTGTTTGCAAATTAAAAAAGATAAGTTAATTGTATTAAAATATTTTTATTTATCTTTCATTTAGTACTTTCGCCTTCTATATATATATACATATACAGGTGTAGAACAGTAAATTTCATTATATAAACTAATCACAGCGAAATTCAATAAAAAAACTTTTAAAATTGGATTCCTATCCCCAAAGTTTTACACAATTTTAATATTATTCAACTTATTTAAAAGTACATAAATATATGATTATAATACTTGTATTAAGACACAAAATTTGAAATAAAAGCGCAAAAATTATGTTATTTTATAAATTTTTCTGTAAAAAAATGCGATAAATTCAGAATATCAACAATGTTTTACTACCGGATAAACCTAATTGAAATCAATGTCGGGAGAACTATCAATGACAAAATATTTTATTTACAAATATTTTGAATAAATTAATCTCCCAATTTATATAAATTACCCAGACATCGGAATTGTAATAATACCGTATTGATACACAATTCTGCAATTGCAATTTACAAGGTAAATTCTACAATTCCGATTTCGGGATTATTCAAGCAATCAATAGAAAACAAATGAGCTACAGAAAAATGTATACAACTTAAAATTCTGAAACAAACACGTGCTAGATAGAAAATTAAGCAATTTGAGAAAGCGTAAACAATAATTATAATTTAACTAATAAAATTACCAAAAAAGAACTAAATGACAACTCACCGAGTCTATAATAATATTATCATTATTGATTTAATCTTTAAAAAAGCTTTTATTATACATTTGGAAAGGAATAAGGCAAAATCGATTTGTAAAATAAATTCAAAAGCAAAAAAAGATGTAACCTAATAAGGCTATAATATTTAAGACTAATAAAATATACAAATTTTAAGGCCATTTCCCAAATTATTAAATTATTTTCAGTAAAGTATAGCTTTTTTTATGAGATTTTTTATATAGTGTCATTTAATATAGAGTCTTAAGTTTTACGAAAAAATGTTTTAATAATATAAAAGCATCATATAAGTTTCAAATTACACTTAAGACGAAAGAATATTAAATATTTTGAAAAGCGTCCGTTTGAATTTATAAAATTACTTTGGACGAAGTATTTAAATTAAAACCAAAATTATATTTTTACATGCAAAACAATATTTTTAATAGCATTGAGCTTACTATTAATGGAACCATATATTAGTGGAATCAAACCAATACGAGTATAATGTAAGTCTATGTATATGCAACTAATATATTTTCAAAAATTTTTCATAAAATTTCAATTAAGACACTATTACACTTCGGTACAGAATTATAAGTAGGTACCTATTTTTAAGTTAAAAAAAAAAGTACACAAAGTTTCCAACTAAAGAGAAACAAGAAGAAGTACCTTAAGAACGATAACTTATCAAAATTTATACAAATTTAACGTACTTGAACAATATTTGTTTTTTTTCCAAAACGTGTTATATAAATGAATTAGTGCTTAAAGAACATATTTTTACTAGAAAAATTATTGAATTATTTTAATTTTTGAAAGCCTTAACATTTAAATATTATATATATATATATATATATATATATATATATATATATATATATACGTTTATATATGTATGTATATTCATATATACGTGTATATATTTATACATATATATATATATATATATATATATATATATGTGTACATATATGTGTATATATATGTATACATATACACAATATATATTTAAATAAACATAAATCTATTTAAATATAATAAAAAATACTTTATTTATAACATAATCATATTTTATATATATTTGTGACATAATCAGGTTTTGTAATAAATTACTATATAATTAGTAAATAAAGAAAACTACAATTGATAATATTTAAAAAAAATAGTTTCTTAATTATTGTTTTTATATTTAAAAAAAAACATATTGATATAATTATATATATTTTTTGTATATAAATAGATACACTTTAATTTAAATACATATATTATATAGATTTAAATCGTACTTATAAAATTCTCAATTAAAAGAAAATATTGAAATTAAAAATTTCTACCAATCTACAAAACTAAAATAATATTTATAATAAATTTTAATTGTCAATATAAAAATATAATAGATCAATTCAAATCAAGTAAATATTTATATGCATTCCTTTATAATCTAAATAATATTAATAAAAAAATATCGCAAATTTACTTTAAAAGTAAAAAGTATATTTGTTCCGAATTCCAAAAACTTCATAACTTAAATAAATTAATAACGACAATGTCTTTTTCAAATCTTAGCAAATGGTGATCCATATAAATTGATTATTCACCTAAAATGAAAAATATGTTAGTAAAAACAATTATAAATATAAATTTATATACATATATACAAAATATTTGTTGTTGTGATGTTCATTATTCATTTACAATGTACTTTAACAAGTTTGTTTGCATAGTTCAATATCTGATAAAATAATAAAAATTATGAAAATGATATTAAATGAGAAATTGGAATATAATAAAGCAAAAAAAAAAACTTTTATATTATGTTATAATTAGAAGAATTCTAAATGGAAAAAACTAAATTTAATAGGAATGAAATAATAACCCATCTTTGTTTTTTTATGCTTTTATTTAAAACGAGTATTTTAAATATTCATTTTATAATAAAATTTAATTATATTTATTGTTTTACTTTTTCTTAATTTTTTTAGTTTTTTATTTAATGCTCAATATATTGAACTTTAAATGCTGCTTGCTTAGAAAATTCAAATTATTATTAAATTACAATTTACATTTTCTTTTTGTTATGTTATAATAAAAAATAATACATACATAATATCAATTATGCTTTATAGATACATATGTAAATAAATAAAAAAAAATCGTTTGAATATCAAGCTTTATCTTCGATTTTTACGTGGATTTTTGTTTTGTATTGCACCAAAAAATAATTTATTGAAACATTAATACATGTTTTTAAATTATATACATATTCACTTTTGCTTTCAAATTTATTGTATTTTATTACTTTATTCGTCATAAAATCCATTGTTAAACCAAATGGTTTGATCTTCTTAATTTTTTTTTCCAATATTTTGTATAATATTTTAAGAAATCAATATTTAGCAACAATTTAGTGAAATGAAAAATATATCGATAAAAAATATTAATGCAATTACTGAAAAAACTTCTCAAATGCCACCATTTGAAGATATAATTAGTGCACTGGTTTGAACGGAAATAATTTTAAATTTGAAATACGAGTTATAAAAAATTGAATTTTGTTTTCGGTTTTCAAGATGATGTTTAAAACGTTTTATCAATTCAATATTAAGTATTAATTACATTTCTTCTGAACTACTTGCACAATCTAACTGGTAACTTGATTTTAAATTAAACCCTAAAAATTTTGAAAGTAATATTATAAGTGATTTGATTTAAAAGCAATCAATTTGATTTGGGTAAACTTTTACTTTTCCATTTAAACAGATTGCACATAAAATAGATATTATTTACTCATATTGTTCTTTAATTACAAATTCATAATTTCTATCAAATGGATTTTTGATGATATTGAATCAAAATTGCTTATTTTTAAAAGTATTTAGATTTTTCAATAGAAAAAAATTTTTAACGCTTATTTTTTATGAAATAAATTAAAAATTCGTACGAAACGATTAACTAAAATTGTCAAAAAAATAATAAATGTAAAATATTTTAGTTCAAAATAATAAAAAAAATATATTTTTAAATTACATTAACTTGAAGTAAAACTGTAGAAATTCCTATTAAATACACCAAAAACTTATAAATAAGAAATATGTAAATTTAAAATAAGTTAATATCATTTTTAAAATGGCAGGTTATTGTTAATAGTAACTCTTGATGAAACAATAACTCTTTTCGACTAGATTTAAATTAGAAAAATTATGGAATTTGTCTAAAGTAATTACTTCCTTTTTCATTCTTATATTCTAATTAAATTTAGCTTAATTTTAAATTAATACTCAGATTTAAAGTTGTATGAATTTATAAATTCAAAAAATATTAGTGATATTTTTTAATTAAATTTAGAGTAAAATTGCACACAAAACCATATAAATAGCTGACTAGATTAAAATCTACATATGCTGTTTTATTATACTCCTTTTAAAATTTCTCTTCCATACCGACATTTCCTTTAAGTTTTTATGTACATGTTGTTCGAAAGGTATGTTTAATAAATTGTATTTACCTCTTTACAAATTTGAGTTTATATTCTATATTTTTTTATTACTGTTGAATTTAAATTAAAATCTTAAAATCAGCTTATAAAATTTTCATTTTATTAATTTATTTTCAAATTTATTAATGTACTTGCATTTTTAAAATAAACTTTTATGAGGTTTAAGGCAATTTTAATGTCGTTTTCTTTATAAAGTTACTTTTTAACTAATTTTTATCTCCTAAATAAATAATATATTCCATTAAACTACATAAATTTAAAAAATTTGAAATAAACAATGAATTGAATTTATAATTAGTTTTAATTAAATTTTAACTTATTTCTTTTTGTTATGACTGCAATAGAATTGAAAATATTGTGTAATTCTGCCTCCTAAAAATCCTTACATCTCAAAACAAAAAAAAAATATAATTATGGTGCTTTCTATAACTATTTTAAAATCGAACATAAATTGATGAAGTTAATTTAAAATTAACCAAAACGATATAGCTGATGAATTTTAAGTATATATACATTATGTTTTTACTTTAAAAAAAAATTCATATTATTTTTATCTTCATAAATTGTATCAAATTTTTAATTTAACCTGTTTAACTTTGTGTTAAAAGAAAATATATTCTGAAAAACATAGGAATTTACATATATCAGAATATGTTTTATTATATTTTTATTATAATGATTATGATAATAACAAAATTTATGAGATAGGTATGTTCTCAATATCAAAGAAAAGGTGTATTAAAATATTATATTTTGGTTTTTGTCTGGTTAATTAAGGTTTTTATATATCTCATATAGATATATTCAAAGTTTTCTAAACTGTATTTGTAACTAAATCTTTTTCATTTATATGCACTGGTTGGTCTTTCTTAGTACAACCTTCTTTATCATCATCTTTACATTTTGTATTCATATGACGTTTTAAATTACTATGGACATTTGTACGATAACCGCACATTTTTTTACAGAAATATCTAGGCGGTTGGCCACATTCATTTTTTAAATGACATTTTAAACTATTTTTCCATTTATAATCTCTATTACAATTTTTGCATATCCATGGCTTTTCAACTTCAACACCTTTATAAATCATATCAGGGGAATGTTCTAAGCTTTCCTTACGTATTCTTTGATTTTGATATAAGATACGATATTTTTTATCATCAGGGCCAGTAATTGACGCCGGGGCAATTATACTACTTGTTGTAGAAACTACGTTTGTGTTATTGTTTGTCGATGACACTGTCGTGGTTGATGATGATGACAATAAATTATTATTGATTATTGGTGTAACTGATGGAGAATCCAATTGTTGTACCAAACGTATACTCGTTCCTTTTGGTATTATTTGGTTTGTTATACTGTCTTTTTTAGCTATAGTTGTATTTGGTAAAGTTGGTAAGATCGTCACTAATGTGGAAGATGTATTTCCAGCTAATATTGGTAAATCGTTATTGCTATTACTTAATTTTGTCGTTGCTGTTGTTAATGCAGCAGAGCTAAATATTTTTAATAATTGTTCGCTTGTATTTATTTTACTTTGTTGTGAGTTTTGTTTAATTGGTACTAATGTTGTTGTAGACTTTTTTATAGACGCTATAGATTGATTAGCAATTGCAGCTACAGCAGATGCGAGACCACCGTTCGTTACGGCAGACGAGATAATAGTTTGTGAGTTTTGGTCCTGCGTTTGTATTGTAGTTGGTAAATGAATTGGCTGATTAATTATTGGTATATTATCATAATCTTCATCTAAATTTTCTATTTTAACTGGTTGAAATGCCCAAGACACGGGACTGGACAGTTTAATGTCATAATTAAATTCAGAAGGTGTTGAGCCATCAAACTCCTCACTGCCACTTTCTTCATCATCTTCGTCAAAATCGCATGAAAAATCACTTAAATTGTTTAATAGCAATGATGCTGCGGGACTAGGTGAATTGCGTTCTATTTTTATTACAATATCTGTTTCATTTGAATCGTTTGTAACAGCTATTTCTTCGTCATTATTAGTTAAAATTGTTGAATTTGGTATCAACTTTGGTAAAGCTATGTTGTCCACATTATTATTTTTATTATTGATTTCATTTTCACTATTAGTGTTATTATTATTGTTTTTGACAGTATTGTTGTTGTTATTGTTAGTAATATTTACCAAATCTGAAGTGGTGTTAGTTATATTAGTTTCAATTTTTGAAATTTTTGAAATGTTAGTTTCATTAACAACTGTATAGCAGGGTATAATATTTTTAATTTTATTTTAATTATAGTATATTCCAGTAATTAATTTATTTGTTAGCGTGAAAAGAAAGAAAATTATTGTAATATTAGTGGGTAGAAACTGATTAAAAATTATGTTTTTGTATATTAAATAATTTTTGAAAAAGCAAAATAAATTTTTTGAAAAAGAATGTTCATATTATATAATATACACATAAACTAAGTGATTAATATTTTTTTTATTTTGCCACATTTATTATTACGAAGTTTTTGAGAAAAATAATCAGATAAGAGAAAAAAAAAACAAATGAAATAAAAAACAAAAATAATTAGCTAAATTACTTCTTATTTATTATGTTAAAGAATATTTTAAAATAAAAAAAATTACTTGAATCAGATTTCAAATTTTGTATACTTGCAACCATATTTTTATCTGCCAACATTAACCAATTGCGAACTCTAATTCTTGCTGGATTTTTTGTATCCTTGGAACCTGTAATTAAATTTCGAAAATATTTGAATTAGTTCACATATTTTTTATATTTATTTTTAATTCATTAGATAACATTTTGTTTTTTTTTTTTTATTTTTTTCGTTAAATTTAATTAAACTCATACAAGTCTTGATATTAATTTCTTATGTCTTAAGTTTTTTATTTTTTACTGAAGTTTTATATGTATCTTGAAAAATAAATATTTTTATAAAATTTAGAAAATTTCTCGTTTCAATTCTAAAAATAATAATTTTGAATTAAAAAATAAGTTACTTAAAATAAGTCTAACAAGTCTTAAGGTGAAGTCTAAAAATATATCGCTAAAAAATAAAATTTAATACTTACACGAACTCAAAAATTCATGAAATGAAAAATATAAATTCAAAAATATAAATTCATACACAAAATTAGTTTTATAAGCACACAAAACTATAAAAGCCACAAAACTATAAAATAAAAATTTAAAAAGTAAATATTTGGAATTAAAAAATGTTTAAATTATTTTAAAATATAATATAACAAAATTTAGAATAAAAGACTGATTTTTTTGTTTAAAAAATAATTGTATAATTTTTTTTTCTTTTTAATCTGTTCTTTATATTTTACACTTATATGATATAAATTTCTAATTTATTAAAACTTTAATTCGTTTAATACAAAAGAAATTATTTTAACATATAAAAATATTATAAAAAAACATCTTATAAAAATAGTATTTTAATGATTAAAACATTTTACAAATTTTTATATAGAATGTGTATATTTAAAAAAAAAAAGAACTTTACAAAGTTGGAATGATCTGTTTTGTATCTTGAATCTTAAAAGTTACTTTTGTTTTTAACAGTTTTTACAAAATTATATGCATTTCAAGTAAAAGATTTTACGGCTTTCTTCAATACCTGAAAATTGAAATAATAGTATATAATGTACACATACAAATATATATGAATATACTTAAAATGTAAGAGATATGCAAGTTTTTTCGAAAAAAAAAGAAAATTATAATTTGAATCATACATCTTAACGAGCTTAAACTATAAATTTTTAAAAAGTTTATATAAGGTAAATGCAAAAAAAATGTAAACGATACAATATTATATGATAATTAAAATAGAAAATATTAGAAATTTTTGAGTAAATTTTATTGCTTGATTTAACAACATTGCATACTTTGAAACTTAATAAAAAAAGGAAAGAATTACATACAATAAAAATTATATAATTTTACTTCATATTTATCCGATCATTTAATAATATTAACAATTATAGTAGTAATAATAATGCTGAGTATTTAATTTTTGTTTTACGTTTTTATTTCCATTTAAAGTTTTTCGCTTTAATTCTATAACTTGTTTAAATTTATTTTTCATTTTTACGGGTCAATAGCTATATACATTTATATGCAAAATATAATAAATTTTATATATTTGATATACAAAAAATATCAATAATTTGCCATAGCGAAATTTATTAATACAAGTATATGTTGTAAAAATCGCATATTCACGCTAAATTGACATAAATTTTGGGGTTTGGTTAAAAATTTCATTAAGAATAAAAGTATAATTGAAATGTTTAACAAGTGACTTTTATCAATTTAATATATTGCTTACGAATATATATACATATATAAAAAAAATAAGTAAAAGAATTTAACGATATATATATATATTTTATATTTTTTAGTTAATGTTACATAATATGAAAATATATGCCAATACCATTATTATTTCATTAATTTTAAAATTTATTTTTTTTCGTGTAACCGAATTTTATGTGTATTTTTTTTTTTAATTTTAAACAAATATAAAGTTTATATAAGTCAATTTTGAGCAGAATCAGTATACCCCACACCAAATATTCATATTAACGAATTTTAATTATTTTCACAATATTAATATCCAAAAACAATTAAAAAAATATGGTATTGAAACCCTTATTTTTGTTTTCCTAATAATTTAGAATTTTTTTTTTTTTGAAATCTTAACTAAGAGGCCGTTGAGATAACTTTTTCTAAGAATATCTATAATTTATCTAAAATATTATAACTTTTATAGTTTTTTCAAGTAACTTAAACTTTAAATTACAAAATTTAAAATATATAAATTTTTTTAAATAACATCTTTTAATTTTAAATAACCAAAAAAATTTTTTTCTTTATTCTTGTTAATTTCAAAATTTTTTTATAAATAAAAACATAAATGATATGAGTTTGTTTAATTGATTGTTTAATATGAAACGATTTCTAATTGTAAAAACAATTGATTTAATACACTTTGTCAGTTAAAAAAAAGATATTGTTTTAAAAAAAAAGTATAAAACATTCCAATATTTAAAATTGAAATATTAGAATGTTAAAATTCTCAACGGGAAATCTTATATTATCTAATAATATTATTATCAATTTAACTCTACTTCACTTTGTATGAATAAATTCAATTCTTTCTCAAATAGATATTAAAAACTTAAGTTTAAGAAAATTTTATTTTATTTTATTTTAACAAAAAAAAGCTTATATTTTAGAGAAGATTTGAAAAATCGCATTTTAGAATATAAAAAATATTAATATATTTAATCAAATTAAACAGCGGAAGTATTCATAATGCTTATATTCCTACATACAATTATTAGTAAAAAAAAAGATTAAAAATATATCAAAAAAATTTTAAAATTTCAACTTTCATAAAGCTAAATATAATATGGAATGTTATTATTTGTTGGAAAATTGTCTTATTTTTTCATATTTTTATAAATACAAATATTTTTTTTTGTCAAACAGAAATAATATTTTTGTTGTTTTTTTTTAACAGTTTCAATTACTCGTTTTTCTTTTCTTAATTTATATAATATATAATTTTTTTTAGTTTTTTTTTAATTATCAAATGGTTGACGTTTTCCTTATATCATTTTTCATAATTAATTTATCAATAAACAATGTACTTATTTTGGTTAAAATATATCTTCAAAAATTACGAATTAAGAAAAAAAATTGTACGTATTTTATTTCAAAAATAGCGAGATAATAAACAATATTTAAAAGTTTTATTATAGGAAATATACTACTCATTATAATTAAAATATTTAAAAAAAAATTAAACGTTTATTTTTATTTATATAATTACTACCAAAATTTAATTTGGCACAACGATGATTTGAAAACTAATAATAAAGTATCTAAAAACGTTTTAAAATTTAACAATTTTATGCAAACAAGACAGAAACTCAAAATTATTTTAAAGATTAAATTTTTTTAAATATATATTTTGTAAAATGCATTATACCAACAAAAATAAAAAATGATTTATATTAAATGAATTTTATATCTTCTAGTCAATTTCTTGTACTAAAAAAATCTCAATACAAGAGCAATATTCATTTTTGACATTTTATATGAAAAAACAACAACATGGTATAAAGGGATTTAGAACTGCACAATTGTACGAAGTAACACTTGTATTTATCTAAATTAAACATAATTTAATAAACAACGTGTAAAAAATGTGTACAAATATGAAAAAATTCAAAAATGTTTTTAATTTAACTTACTTAATCGATCTATTAGATCTCGATTTTAAATAAAAATGTAACTATTACACCATCAAAATAAATGTATACTGTGAATTAAAAACTGACTTGTTAAAAAATAATTGAAATAATTAATTTTCATGACCTAGTTAATACAATACACACATAAAATATACATAAGGTTGTTGGCGAACTTAATTAAGAAACAAATGAAATTAAAATATTTTTTATTAACATGTATTGTAAAAACTCTTCATGATTCATATTTAACATTAGTTCTATAACCTATTTATATTATATTTTATGTTAATATCTTTGAGCAACATTGGTATCTATTTGAACCAAGATCTTATTGACAAAAATAAAAAGACCTCGGATATTACTTGTGGTAAATAATAATATTAAAATAAGGAGTTAAATCCAAAACTGCAATTTTAAAATATTTAAAATTAAATAAAAAGAAAATGGAAAAATATGTAAATAGTTACTCTCATTTTGAAAGTGATGTTTTTATGGCCATTTTATTCATTATATAATATGTATTATATAATTATATAATATGTGCAATTATTATATTATTATTATATTATATAATTTTTATGTATTATTATGTGTGTATTTTAATAACAAATTTTTTAGACTGCTTATATTTAATATGAATAATTTGTTTTTACTATTTCATTAATAACTATTTATTTACTTCTTTATGAATATAATGTAAATAGTAACTGAAATTTTCTTAATTAATGTCTTATTTGTTTTTTTTTTCCCTTTATATTGTGACATAAAAACTTCTTTTTTGTATTTTTTTTAATAATAATTATTAAAAAAGAATTATTTTATTTTGTATCTTAATTTCTAATACCTTAAAAATAAATAGTTATTTATTCGATGTACTTATAGTATTTTCAACCGGAAAGCCTAAAAAAAATTGCTTTTTTAACCAAATCGATTTTCTCCAAATTTTTTGAATTTATCGCACATAAAAATATTTTAGATTTAAATAAACATTTTTGTATTACAAAAAGTTTGTTTGAAATTAAAAAATATAATTGTTTTTATTCTGTTTAGATATTTTCAAAATCTATATAAAATGTGAATAAATTTAGAAAAAATTATTGATCTTTATTTTACTTATTTATTATTTCTTTTTATATATTAATTTTACAATGGAAAATTTTAAATACCCTAAAATTAACTAAAAAATGTTCATAAATGAGGTAATACCATGACTTTTCTTTCTATTCTCTTAAAAACTAACTATTAAAACTACATTAAAAATGCAATGAAAATAAAAAAATAAAAATTAAATAAAGTTATTCTAAGGTATAAAAACAATAACAATATAATAATTTTTTGACTTGAAAAATGTTTTTGTTTTTTCATCGTGATGCATAGAAAAGCTTTATTATTTCTTTTTTAGATCAAAAAATTCCGATTGTAAACTTGAGAGGAAATACACTGTCCATTTTTTA